TTCTTGAGGGAAAAAGGATTTGGTTAGTTGATTCCTCAGCTGCTTTAAGGGGTTCCCATTGACCGGTTGATAAGTTTCCTTGTCTTCGATGAGTTGTTTTATCTTTTTTGTATATTCTGTTTTGTCAAACAGTGCGATTGCATTGCCTTTGTCTGCCGGAAGAATGATAATATTGGAATCATTTTTCAGCGATTTCAATGCTTTCATTTCGACATCAGGGATCAGCTGTGATTGTCTCTGTTGGTTGAGCTGTTGGCATATTTTGATCCTAATTTCTTCTCTTTTGTATTCGGGCAACGAGCAGTTTCTTAGTCCGTTCTCCACAGAGGCGATGAAGTCGGTCGGTTTGGCATTGGAGTGGTTGAATTCCAGGCCTTTCATGAGAATTGCCGATTCTGTGGTTGTGAGTTATATATACATTTCACACGTCTGAGTTCAGACTGTGGGCCAAACAAATCGCGATACAATAATCTTTATAAAAAGAAAAACGTTCCACGAATCGCATGTTGGCTGAATACTGCCAGGATGCCCAGGCCGAGGTACGTGAATTTTCTTGGGGTATACATAACCAGAGCTTTCGGCTAACCAAAGCCTGACCCGCAAGGCAGTGAGGCGGTGTGTGAAAACCGAAGTCCATTGGGAACTGGTGTCCAGTTCAACGGATCATACGCCTTTGAGACGGAGTCAAACATCGAAGGTGCCCAATACACCTAACTCGCAAAGCCTACTAATCTGAAAATCGGTGTGCTAGTAGATTTATCCCCGATAAACTCCCGAAAACACGACGGATTACCTCCACGTTACTAACCCGTTCGCTCCATTCAATGTGGGCTACACTAAGTAAACACTGATAATCGAAAACTTCTAGTCGACGGATATCTCCTACTCGCGAATTCAAGGTCTCAAAACCATAAAGCAGAACTGAACGAACGCGAGCACAATATACACGACCTTTCAGCTTCAGTGAAACGTCGCGTCGACGCCAAAGGTGATTCAGTCCTGCGTATGCTGCTCGAGCCTTGGAAATGCGGGCGGTTATCTCCATTGCTGCACTACCGTCATTGGCCACGCAACTCTATAAGTAAGGATTTCAACAGGCATTGTTCGCGCCACTGACTTCTGTTCTGCGTCATATCTCTTAGCGTCTCTAACCAACGACAAACATCATCCCTTGGGTCCCAACCTGGAAGGTGGTCTGAACCAACCGCAGCCAGCTTCTTCATACCTCTACATCTCATGGCCTGACTGCCGCGAAGTTTCTTCCCAGCATGTGCAAAAGGAGTACGGCATGGTAGACGATGGGCAGGCATATGCATTCACCTGTCACTCTGCGGTTTTAGGTCTCGGTTCCCATAAACGTAGGACAACTTTATGCAGATATGTTATAATCAAGTTACCAAGTCAATTACGTATCATAAAGGTGCATGTTAAAGCGTCTAATAAAATTGCACTGTTGTGTACTGGTGTAAGAAAACATGGCTATATTGCAATCAAAAACGACGTTTGCCGTTACATGGAGATCAAAATGATAAAAAAGCGTTGTGCAGCAACCAGAAAATGTAAATGAAAAGTTACCATCGTAGAAGCACACTTAGTTCGCTTACGGCCTTCTTCTAGGCAAGTAGAGAAAAATAGCTTACCGTTAAATTACGATACATGTTTATAAGAATTACTAAGCGGCAAAAATCGTATTGGGTTTTGACACGGTAACGGCAGGAGTATAAGTCGGGATTGAGCCTAACATCGAAGAGAGATGGGCTGCAATTAAAGATAGTTTACTAAGGCTCACCAAAGAGCGACGGTAGTTGCTCTGCATAAATCTGGGTCAAAGCGAAAGACCGAAAACTAAAGACCAGTAAGTCTGACGTCGGTCCTATGCAAATGCCTAGAAAGGATTGTAAGTAAGCATATGACTGCGTACCTCGTACGGCATGAGCTACTAAAGCCAGCTCAACGTGGCTTTATTAAGAGGAAATCGTGTCTATCGAATCTGCTTGCCTTCCACGATGAAGTCACATGACGCTTAGACGAGGGACATAATGGACGGGGAGTTAGAAAGCGGATATATAGCTTACAGCAAACCACACATTCTAGGTCAAGGTTGGTATGCACTTATTGGTGCGGGCCAACATGACTAGCGGTTTCCCTCAGGATTCTGTGCTATGCCCAATGGTACTTCTGCTGTTCGTCAATACCACGAGAACTCAACAACCCGTGATTCATGTTCGCGGACGACTTTAAGGTGGCTGAAGCGAACATATATCAGGATCTGCAGGCGGTTATACGGTCGTCCAAAAAGTGAGACCTTCCTCTAAACCTAGCCAAATATCAGCTTCTAACAGCAGAAGCTGAACTTGACATTCAAAATGAAATCCGGCTCTGGGAGTCATTGTACCACGTGACTTCAAACCCTCACAACAATGTCAGAGGGCAGCCAACGTAGCTCGAAGGGGACATTTTCGATTACACTCCAGGATTACGTACAGGAGACCCGAGGTTCGTCTCTCTGTACAAGGCCATAGTTAGGCCACACTTCGAATATTGTGTTCAGGCATAGACACCCTACTTTCGGAAAGACATCGAATGTCTAGAAAGAGGGGAGGCCTGGCTACAATGATGATGGTGGGACAAAGAGCCACGAGCAGAA